TGCAGCGTCCCATACCGCTGTGCTGCCGCTGTCCAGGCTACTTTGGCAGGAAAAGCAGTGATGTGGCGTCAGAGTTCCACACATGAATGGGAAGATGTGATCCCATCACAGCCTATCAGATTGGACCATTGTCTACTGGACTGAGGGCCATTTTGACGATTACGAGACCCTACGGACCTATTTGTCTTCACAGGCTATCAGATTGGACCCATTTTCTACTTGATTGAGGGCAATTTTGACGACTCTGGGACCCTACAGACCTATTTGTCATCCCCAGCCTGGACTCAGACTGCAGGTGAACCTAGATCATGGCATCGGACCTGTTTTCAAACAACTGCAATAAACATTTTTTGGGGCACCTGATCTGGTTCCTAGTTTTTATTACATAATTCATTTTAATAATTGTTACGATCCTGGCCAATTTCGAAGTATACAGTCATCAGAAAGTACAATGTCGTCCAATTGCAAAAAGAAATGAATGAACTTGAGAGGAGAGAGAGGGAAAGAAGAAGAAGAAGAAGAAGAAGAAAGAAAGAAGAAGAAGATGATGTACTCCAGCATAGACCAAAGATAATGCTCTTCTTCTTCGCCAACCAATCTCCTCCTCCTTATCTCCTCCCCTCTTATTCAAACAAGAAATAACAATAATAATGTTGAATGGCTGAACCAGAAGCAAGGTCCAAATCCCTCTTCTACTGCTGGCATAACATGAGGTCCACCATAGCCATGGCCACCCTTCCTCTTCCTCTTCATGTAGGCCGAGGCTATGGCGGAGTACTGAGGGCTCTACCCTGGAACACCCAAGAATTGCAAACAGGGAGCCATGGAAAGAGATGGGCGTTGAGAAGTCGTTGTGGGAGAAAAGGTTAAAGGCAAACCAATGCCTAAAATGTGGTGATCCCAACCACATTGTCTGCTTTTGCCCTGACTACCGCCACCCAAAAGGGGGCAGCCACTAGGAGATCCAGTCGCTCCTACTGGGCCTTCAGACATAGACAGACAGGTAGAAGCGCGCACTGAACAGGCACCCTCCTGTCGGAAGGTCCCAATGGCAGAGACTGATGTAGGCCCTCATCCAGTTCGTTATCCGGAGACTGCTTTTGCTAGGGTCTCTCTGGGTGTTTCCCTCGCAGGCATAGGTGATGAACTGATCACTCGTCGCCAAGCTTGGACCGAAATGAAGAAGAAGAGCAAAGGGCAGCTTATATTAGCACATGTAGAGTTTAGCAGAGAGCGAGTAGGCACGTTAGTCGATAGTGGGTCCACGCGCAGTTACATTAGCCGAAGGGGATTGAAGAAGATGCACCTCGACATGAAGGTTCATAAGCTGGGCGAGTCGGTAGTGAGCAGGCTCACAGACAATCGCGAGAAGAGAGTTGAGGATAATGTTGAACGGGTTAAGGCATACTTCCGGTTGGAGGGGGAGAATAAGGTAGAGAGAGTTATGCACTCCCTGAAACTCTTAGTCGAGGATAACCTACCCTTTGACCTGATTTTAGGGATGGATTGGGGAGAAGCAGCGCGAACAAATGTGAAGATGGGCAAGCATGAGTGCTGCCTGCCCAGTCCTCAGGGAGGCAAAAAACAATTGCGGCTGTTTCACGAGTTTGGAGCGAAGTACAATTTGTTCCTTTGTTGTATGAGTGCCCCCGCATTCGCCAGACACGTGGTAAAGGACGAACTAGTCGACCAAGTCTTCGTAGCATACGTTAGACCGATAAGTGAGGGCAAAAAGGAGGAGGTACCGACACCGCCAACAGTTGAGAAACTGTTGGAAGAGTTCGCTGATGTGGCAGAAAGCCCGACGGGAGTAGTCGAGAGAGAGATTAAGCACCAGAGAGATCGAGCCCAGGCAAAATTCCCAAGAGACCGATTTACAGGATATCTCCTAAAGAACTCGACAAGCTGCACAAGCAAGTTAATTATCTGATGGAAAAGGGGTGGATAAAGCCCAGCTCCTCACCATACAGCGCACCGGGCTTATCCGTGCCTAAGAAAGAAGGCGAATTGCGCATGTGCATAGATTACAGGGGCATGAGCACGATTATGATAAAGAACGCCAAACTGTTGCCGCGGATTGATGATTTGTTGGGTAGAGTGCAGGGCTGCAAGTACTTATCAAAGATTGACCTGAAATTGGGCTACCATCAGATAGAGCATCATAGAGGTGCAACTCGAAGACCAGCACAAGACAACCTTTAGGACTTGCTATGGCCACTACGAGTTTGTGGTCGTGCTGTTTGGTCTGACGAATGCCCCTGCCACCTTCCAGAGGTGCATGAATGACCTCTTTCACGAGTGGATAGATACGTTTGTAGTAGTTTATCTAGACGATATTTTGATTTTCAGTAAGAGTCTAGAGGAGCATCAACAGTATTTGCGCTTAGTTTTAGAGAAGCTGCACGCTTCAAAGTTTAAGGTGAACCCAAAAAATGCGAATGGGCTAAGCGTAAAGTTTTGTACGTAGGCCATGTATTGGACGAAGACAGGATCAGACCAGAAGATGCAAAGATAGCAGCAATCAGAGACTGGCCCGCACCGCACTCGTTGACTGAACTGCGGCCATTCTTGGGGTTAGCAAATTATTACCGGAAGTTTGTGCAAAATTTCACGATGATCGCTGCACCATCGCGTAAGTTGTTGAGGAAGGAGACAATTTGGAATTGGGATAAAGATTGTACTTAAGCCTTCAAGAAGCCGAAGGCGCTCATTGAATACCCGGTCCTCGAGTTGATGACCCGTCCTTGTCATTCATTGTAACTACTGACGCGAGCCAATATGGTATAGGCGCTGTACTCCAACATAACGATGGAGCGGGGTATAGGCGAGTAGAGTTCATGTCGTGTAGATTGCCTAGCGAGAAGGTTGCTGCGTCAACATACAAATGTGAGTTGTTGGCATTAAGAGAAGCACTGAACCATTGGCGGCACTATGTGCTAGGTAGGCATTTCAAAGTCTATTATGACCACGAGACTCTACGCCGGTTGAAGACCCAAGCCCAAATGATTCCTAAGTTGACTAGATGGGCTGGGGAGATTGACCAGTTTGACTTCGAGTTAAAGCCAGTTAAGGGAAAGTATAACGTCGTCGCAGATGCGCTTAGTAGACGCGCAGACTTTTTCAGTGCTATTGTGACTTAGTTAGATGTCGGCACCGAACTGCAGCAACAGATTAGGGTTGCGTACACCGACGATCCTGTTTATAGCGAACTCATTAAGAGAGTCCAAACAACACCCCATGAAGTTCCGAAGTACAGAGTAACTGACAAACTTTTTTTTTTTTTTTTTTTTTTTTTCAACCAGTGCTCCAGTCTATTCTTGGGGAGCAGCACGTGCTGGGAAGCGGGCCCAGCGTCCCATATCGAATTATACAGATCATTGAGAACATTTGAGGTCGTTTGAGGTCATTTGAGATACCGGGGCCATTACCCGGCTTCGGCTGAGAACAATCTGTGAACACGATGAGATTCAGAAACATGGGCAGGATCCTGAGTATCTAATGACCTATTAGGGGATTACTCATGCAATAACCTGCCACAGAGGTCCTACGAATGCTCACTACCCTCAGGTTCCCTGACAAACCCTTCTAARACTTCCCAACACCGTCTTACTCCCTGCTGAGCTCTTCCAGGCCTCATGCCCCCACCCTGCTGGGTTACAGGGCAACACAACTCGCCCCATCTCCGACCAGCGTCATCCCAGCACCAACCCTTGGTCGTCCCTTGGGATGCCCAACCCAAAGCATCCCCAGATCTCTCTACCAGGCATCATGCTCCTGCATCAGCAGGTTACAGGGCAACACCCCAACACCGGCCAGCATCGTTCTGGCATCGAACGGCCACAGATCACTGAGTATAACAACATCGAAACCGCCTAAGATGGGTTGCTAAGAAACCCTAAAGTCCTAAGACATTCATAAGAACAACCGACTTTTTTTTTTTCCATTCAGACTCTACCAAGTCAATAGAATATGTGTGTCAAAGAGCCTCCCCATCACAAATCAGATAGGTGAAACCTATTCAATCCACCTACGACCACCACCAGCATGGCTAATTTCAGCACGAACCGAAGCTCTTCCAGGCCTCATGCTCCCATCAGGTTAGGTTACAGAGTTGCACCACCTTGCTCGAACACCGGCCAACATTGCTCCAGTTACGACCCCCGATGACCATTGGGACTGCCCCCGCAAACAGCCCCCTAGAGCTCTCTACCAGGCCTCACGCCCCCACTAAGCTAGGTCACAAAGTTGCGCCACCTGGCCCCGGCTCCGGCTCCGGCCAGCTTTGCTCCAGCATCGGTCTTCGAGGGCCACCGACTTTTCAACCACCCCTCGCAGGATCACAGATGGCTTGCCAGATAACACCTATCCCTACAACCTCCTCGAGAGGCAACCAAATGGAAAACTATAATAAACTGGATGATAGTTTTTTTCGAGAGAGATCGCCCCTTCCTCCCCCTACCCCTTCCCCCTCAGCCCTACACTGCCTCCGCTGAGGAGAATCACCCACTCTCCCTCGGCCCCAATATAGGACCAATCCTCTCCCCCCCTTTCCCCAGGAGCACGCAGTTCCCACCTAAAGCATGCCCCCCTGCCCCTTGCCCATTTCCGCCTCCGCAGGGACTGATGTTGACCCACGCACAAACCCTGCCCCAGAATAAGGCAACCCCCTACTCCGCCCCTACCCTCTTTGAGACATTCACCCCCCACCTTGCGATGCCCCTGCAGGATAGAGCTCCCCCCACCCCCTTCCCACCGTTCAGCCTTCCGGGAACAATCCGATCCAGCCGACTACAGTTATTGATGACACATTTACCAGAATATCATTCGCTTGGATTTTGTTGATGACGATGGACAACACCCTGAAGACGATGATAATGAGAATGATGGTGACAACCAACTCACCTGCTGATGCAGCGCAACATCTAATGAAAACAAGCTGATGATGATGATGAGAATGATGAGAATGAAAACGGAATGATGATGCTGATCATACCAAAGAGCAGCACCAACAAACTGATGATGATGATGATGATGATGATGATGATGATGATGATGATGATGATGATGATGATAGCGATGATGATGGTGATGTCGATAATGATGATGATGATGATGAAGATGATGATGATGTTGATGATATTGATGACGCAATGATGATGATGATGATGGTGATGTCAGTAATGATGATGATGATGATGATGATGATGATGATGATGATGATGATGAAGATGATGATGCACAGCGCCCTATGATGACTACAAGATGATGATGGTGTGATGACGAGCACCTTGGATGAGAACCTAAAGATGATGATGATGATGATCAACGCCCTATGATGACGTCAAGCTTTGCCAACCGTGCCGTATGATGGAGAGATATTTGATGATGGTGATACAACAATGAGTGACGAGCAGCACCCCTGATGTACGGCTCCTTGATAATAGTGATGATATTAGCGCCGAACAGGAGTGAAGACATATGCCTTGATGATGATGACGAGCAGTACCCTGATGCTGATGATGGTGATGACGAGCAGCGCCCTGATGATGATGACAAACCATTACCGTGATGATGATGTCAAATCACGCCCTGTTGATGATGATAGTGACGAGCAGCACCCTAATGATGATGACACCGATGCTGGTGCTGGTGGTGATCAGCGAGAGTGCCGCAGATGACAGAGATGTATACAAAAACCGAAATCAACGCACTCGATATCACCTCCAATCCTCCTCCCGCTCCACGTAAGCACGCGCTCCTCCTTTCCGTCCGCGTCATACCAACCGCCTACCACAACACCACGCAGACCAAGGAGCAAAAGCCATGAGAAGGCTGAACCTCTCAAGGAGACCCACCTCCTCTCGAAGGCAAGTTCCCCTTCACCCAACGTGCTAACCTGTAACACCACTGGATGAAGCGCAAAGCTGGAGATGGCACCGAAGTGCTTTCAAAAGGCAGGCAACACCGAGTCACGGTCCATCCTCCTGCCCTCCCGCTGTCCGATCTCGCCTTCATCACTACCCCATCACCAGGGCGCCGTCACGCCAAAACTGCCCCGTCATACCCAGCTGCCACATCGCGCTCGCGTGTTTCCAACCTGTAGGGCGCCACAGGACTGCCCGTGTGAGAGTGCCAACCCGGCGGGGCGCAGCGCTCCTGGAAGCGCTGCGCCCTGCGATCTGTCCCTAAGCCTCCGAAATTTTCATAGGCAAGGAGTTGCATTTTCAGCAAGGCTGCGGAGGTGTTTGAGAAGACTGACAAGTTTGACAGACTGCACATTGCGAATGATGAGGCCACTAAGAGTCTGATCTTGGGGGAGTGCCACGACACTGAGGGCCACTTCGGATGGAGGAAGACCTACGCGAACCTCTTATGGTCCTATACCTGGGTCGGCATGAAACATGACTGCATTGCCTACATCCAGGGCTGTCAAGTGTGCCGCTGGAACAATAGTTCCACACAGTCTCCACTAGGCCTGTTATCCCATCCGGTCCTGGCAAGTCCGTATCGATCGACTTCATGGACATGAAGATTAAGAGCAGAAATGAGAAGAGTCAAGTGATGTTCAGTAAATTTGCTGTTTTTATTCTGCTGCCAGTCGAGGCAAAGACCAATTTAGCATGGTAACCGTCCGGACGTCCGGAGTGGGTTCCAGACAGTCCGGTGTCTGGTGTCCGGTAGGCCCCTGGGGCCAAAAAGAAAAAAAAGAGGGGGGCGGACCAGGACGTTTATCGGGTCCTGGCCGCCCCTCGAGAAATAATGGGGTGATTTTTCAGTGTTCTTTCAACCCACCGGAGAACACAAGACACTGCAGGTTTTTGGGGTGACGGGTTTCACACAGGCCCGAGCAATTTCAAAGCGGCCGTTTCGACGTGGCGCCCGCCTCTGCTGCCCGTTGGGGAGAGAGAGAGAGAGAGAGAGAGAGAGAGAGAGAGAGAGAGAGAGAGAGAGAGAGAGAGAGAGA